GGTGCGGGGTCGCTCTCTCCACACGCCCCCTGCTGCCAGGGCGTCTGCACCTCCGTGCCCAGCTCTCCTGGGCCCTGGGGAGGCTTTGGGCACCGTGGCATGGCCAGGTCCCGCCTGAAGGTGTCAGACCCCCCCCACCCCCCAGGGCTTTGTCACAGCGGGGAGACGGGCACAGAAGAGCGGCTTGCAGTCTGGGCCGCGGAAGGCACATGGGCCATGAGGGTGTCAGGAGAGTTCCCAGCCTGGGCCTGGGCCCCCGGGGCCGGGAGAAGAGCTCCTCTCCCCGCAGGCATCTGGGCCCGGGTGACATTCTGCACATCCTGGGGCGAAGGGGCCGCGGGCAGCACTGGCCCCCCGACACGCCCCTCCCCCCTCTGTCTCCAAACTTCCCCTGTGCTCAGATCCAGACTGGGGTTTTGAGCCCCCAACACGCGCACACACACGCACGCACACGCACACACACACACACACACACACGCATCTTTACCCGACACGGTGCTATCCCACCTCTTCAGCCAGGTAAGGGCATGGGACCACCTCACAGGAGTGGGGCTGGGGGCTGGGGTGGGGGCGGGGGCTCCTGGTGGAAGCAAACTTCCTCTCCCTGATGACTTTTTGTCCCTCTCCCTGAAGTTTTGTGCCTCTGGGCCTGCGGGTGGGGGGTGGGGAGGGACAGGCCTGTGCTGGGAGGGGAGGCAGGAGCCCCGTCCAGGGACAGCTCTCCCTCCAGCCCCAGGCTTCGCCTCTGTGAGAAGTAGGCAAGGAGGCCAGTGGTGAGACAGCAGGACTCGGAGCCGGAGTGGAGCCGGCCTGGAGCACGGAGGTGCCCAGTCAGCATCTGTGGGATGGGGGGATGGGCAACGCCTGTCAGGGCCTGGGAGAAACGCCACCAGGAAGCCAAGAGCTGGGGGGACCTGGGAGGTCATGCAGGCCTCCCCCATTCTGTCCCTGGGGGGACTGAGGCCCAGCAGAACGGTGAGAGGGTGAGGGCGCTGGGACAGATATGGGCCCAAAGGCCTTGCTGACATGAGCTGAGGCCGGGAGGCGGGGGGCGAGAAGTGCCCCCTCCCTGCTGTCGGGGCTGCGGGGCCAGGCTGAGGTCAGCCTGTGCTGTGTGGTTCCTTCCGTGGCTGCTGCGTGGTGGGTGGGCAGGAGTGGGCTCCCTGAGGCCCTGGCCCTGCCTCCAGCCCTCAGCCTGTCCTTCCGTCTCCTCTTCGGTCCATCTCACCCCTTGCCTCTCGGACCTCGCTCCTCACCGTGTTCTGTCTCCCCTCCCGGCTCTCTTCTCTCTCAGTTGCGTACTTGAAGGACCGGAGGCTGAGTGGAGGAGCAGGTAGCCCTGGAGCCCCTCCCCTGATGCATGGCCCGCCCGGGCTCCCCTGCTCCTTCCTCTGGCTGCGCTGAGCCAGCGCATCTCGCTGTGGTCTGGAACCTTCTCGTGTCCTGCTCGTGCGCAGATCCTGGGTGGCACGGGCTTTGCCCCATTTTAGGGCTCTGGATTGGCTGGGCTCGAGAGCAGCCTGGCTCCGAGGGAGGCGTCCGGAGCTGTGGCAGCTGGAACCAGACCCTCTCGAGGGCGGGCCCAGGCCCGGCCCTGCCCCAGCTGAACAGGTGGCCCGAACAGGTGGCCGGATAAGTGAGGAGGGCTGAGTCTCGCTTGTGAAACGCCATGAGGCAGAAATGGGATTTAGGGCAGTTTGGCCTCCTTTGCAGAATCACCCCCCTCTCCCAGTGCCCCCATCCTCTCAAGGCAGGCCACGCTGAAACAATGCCCCCTCCTTCCCTGAGCTCCGGGGGAGCTGGTCAACTCCCGCCATCCTGGCCTTGTCTCTGGCCAGCTGTGGCAAGAGAGTCCTGCTGGCGTCTGCGGACCCCGGCCCGGCCCCGGCTCGCTCACTGTCGCTGGCTGCATGCCTTGGGCTGGCAGAGCCGACGCCAGAGCCCTGGCTTGGGACAGGCCTCTGT